ATAATGGGGGAGGGTATAGCTTAGTGGTAGAGCACATGCTTAGCATGCACGAGGTCTTGGGTTCAATCCCCAGTGCCTCCATCAAATAAATAAATAAAATAAACCTAATCACCTCCTCCCCCCAAAAAAACACACAACAAAAGAAAAAATTTTTTAAAAAGGAAGCATAATTGGGAGGCTATTGGACCACAGGGGAGAGCACCCTTAATCCCAACCAAAGGGGAAAAGGTTTCTCAGAGGAGGTGACACTTCATGTGGGCTTTGGAGGGAGCAGAGCAATTTGAGAGGCAGAGTGGTGGAGAATGTCATCCAGGCGGGTGGGGAATTGTGATGGTCATGGACTCTGCTTGAAGGGAGTGCTGACCAGCTAGAAGCCTGGGGAGGCACAGGGAGAGGAGAGAGAGATTGAGGAGGGTAGAGTGGTGGCTGTGGGGACATGTGATGAGAAAGACACAAAGCAGGAAAAAGACCTAATGACTGAGAGGAGCCTTGTGTACTTAGGTTTATTCTGAAGGCAAAGGGAAACATCAGGAGTTTTTGAGCAAGATGTATGGTTTAGAAAATAGATCCAGCAGCCCTGGGAAGTGCAGATTCCAAGTAAAGAAATCCCTCCGGGTTTGGCGATGATCTTGGTAAGAAGTGGAACAGGGCAGTGGGAATGGATTAGGAAAGAGGGACATAATTTCAGAGAGACCACCGCATCAGGGAGGGTGGGAGGAGAGTAAAAGGCTTCTCTGAGCATAAATCTGGAGTGTTGAGGGCATGGTGGTGGTGATGTTAAGAGAGTTGGGGCTCTTAGGAGGAGGGGTGACTGATAGGAAGATGATGAGTTAAGGATGAGAGTAAGGAGTTTCTTTAGGTCCAACGGAAATACAGATGAGGGAACAAAGATGAGGCTGAGTTGAAAAGTTGGGTTCATTTACATATGAATGTTAGCTAAAACAAAAAGAAGGGAGATCATGGGGAAACATGAGGAAGGAAAAGAAAAAGCAATTGAGTATGGGCTCTTGAAGCATGACTGTATTTAAGGAAGAGGAGACAAAGAGGAACCCACAGTAGAGACTGAGATTGAGCCTCCACTCATTTCTTTCATTCATTCATTTGGTCAGCAAATGTTTACTTGGCACCTACCATGGACAGGTCCTGGGCACCCAGGGTACAGTGGGAAAGAAATCCTGCCTTCCAGCATTTATGGTGAGGTTGCTGCTCAGAAAAGTGCAGCACCCTGTGGAGACCCAGAAAGGGGAGGGGTCAGGGAGAGCAGGGTCTGATGGTGTTGACTGCACTGGAGCCTAAGAAGTAGAGAGGAAAGATGGGAAAGGGGAGGTGGAGGGGAGGAAGGAGGGACAGATAGGGGGAGGAGACCAGACAGAGGCACAAAGAGGGGATTTGTCTCATTTTGGAGCCGGGACATTCTGTCTCTGGCCTCACCTCAGAAGCAGAGTAAATACCAACCTAATCAGGTTTACCTCTGTAGCCATAGCAACCTCTGGGCTTGGCTTTGTTGCACCTTCATGAACCTTTTAAGTGAGGAAGTTGCTTAATATCAAGTTACATACTAATTAGAAATACAACAGCCTCTTAAAACGGTTTCTTAAAGGCTTGCCAGGTTGTCTCTTTCCTGAATTCATTTTTCCCATACTCTTTCATTCACAGAGATTCTGGACCATAATATAAATATAAACTAACAAAATATTAAAGATGTGAAATAAGATTGCTCTGTGACGATAAAAGTGCTCACTGTAAAAACTTGGAAAATAGAATATGAAGTAGAAAATACAAATTATTCATCTTCCTATTACTCTTAATATTCTGTTGTTTTTTCCCCCAATCCTATTTCTAGACATATTTTACTACATTTAAATATGTTTATGATCATTTTGTATTTAGAATTTTGTATATTATTTTGTTCACTAATTATATCATGGGTATTTCCCAATGTCACTAAAATAGCTATAAAAATGTTTCATTCTACACATGCTTCACACTTTACCCATTCCTGTGTTATTCAGTTAGGTTCTTTCTAATCTTTCTCTGTTTTAATGCAGCAGTTACTCACCCTTAGGTATATTTTTTTGTCCCTGACTTAAAATCCATTTGTATTTCAAAATGATTTATTGTATACTTCCCCTAGAATTCTTACATTTAAATGAACAATGCTTCATAAATTTTAGAGTGATATTAATACAATGAAGAGTGATTTCACCATCCTTTGTCTCAAAATACAAGTTATTTTGAAATGTTATCTGATTATTTTATAAACTACATTTTATGTCAAGAAATTTGACCCAAACTGGAATAATGATAAATTGCATTTATTTTTAACTCACTATTAAACCCCAGGTTTCTGCCAAGGCTTGCTCGAATTCTACAGGTATAGCACCAGTGGAGCTATTTTTCCATACTTTCAGGTTTGTCAGAGAGTATTAATTTTGAACACAGGTAATCTCTCATTTATCTTCATATTCAATTTTTCTTCTTGTTTTATTATAACACGTCACTTTGTACGAGGAGTTCAAGCCTACTCCAGAAAGCAAGTAGAAGGTTATTTTTATTTGTTGGGAAAATTAATTTGCCTTAAAAACTTTTTCGATTATTTTACCCTCAAACATTTGCTGTGCTTTTGTTTTAAGTGTTTCTTACAAGAAGAATATAGCTGGGTTAAAAGAAATGAAATTTTAGCTGGCAAGTTTTATTTATTATTTTTTGTGATCATTGATACATTTCCATTTATTTTTACTATCTTTTTCATGCTTTCTATTTGTCCTATAAAGTTCTTATTCCATTGTCTTCTCCTCTAGTTGTTTGGAATTTTTAGATTCCATTTCTAATTTTTTTAATGGTTAAGAGTTTTAAATTATATTTACCCTAAATTATATTCCTGAAATTTAGAGGGCTTTAACTCTTTCCAGTTTAGGGGCTATTATTGTCCAGTATTTTATTTCTATTAAAAATGGCTTGAGAAACATCCTATATAGAGGATAGTACAGCACACGTGCACACGCACACACACATGCTCATGAACACTTAATGTGCCCGTGATAAGAGACAGAATAGTACCTCTGTTTACATGCCCCTCCCAGTTTTTTTTAACTTCACAAATTAGAAGTTATTAGAGTTGATGTTTATTTAGATTTAATCACATGATTACCACTTTCTTTGCTTACTGGTTACTGTCCTTCTTAAACCTCAAGTCTCCCTTTGGTGATTCTTTTCCTTCTTCCTAAAGTATATATACATTTAAGTTCCTTTATTTCTTGTGCATTTTAAATATTAACCGAGTCTGTTGGTAATAAATTATCTTAGCTTTTGTTCATATAAAAATATTTATTTCATCCCCATTCTTGAAACAAATTTTGTTGGGTATGCAATTGTAGATTGACAGTTATTTTCTTTCAGCATTCTGAAGACATTATCTTACAGTATTTTGGTGTCTGCTCTTGTTCATGAGAAATCAGACATCAAACGGCTAAGCTGTCTTTTTTGGGGGCTGCTTTTTAAAGCTATTCAATTTGTCTTTAATGTTCTGCAATTTGCCAGGATTAGTCTGGGTATATTTTCTGGAGTTTTGTAGGTCCTAAATAGAAGTATCCATGGAAATTCTTGAGTATTATCTCTCTCCTGTTCTTTCTATTCACTCCTTCTGGAACTCTGATTAGATAAATGTTAGCACTTCTCACTCAAATTTCATATCTATTAATCTTTCTTTCATAATTTCCTCCTCTGTCTTTCTGTACTATATTCTAAGTAATTTTGTCATATCCAACTTTCAACTTGCTAACTATGTTTTTCAGTTGTTCTAATCTGCTAGTAAACTCATATGTTGAATCCTAAGATTTCAACTGTAACTTTTACTTCCAGTAGTTAAGAATTTGCCTGGATATTAATGATAGTACTGTATTTTCTACTTATATATTAAATTCTTTAAATATTTAAAATATACTTATTTTACAGATCTGGCACACTCCTTGTTTTTTTTTAAATTAAGGTTTATTGAAACACAGCTGAGCCCATTTGTTTACATACTGCTTGTGTCTGCTTTTACTCTAGAACGGCAAAGTGGAGTCTTTTTGATAGAGACTGCACAGTCTGCGAAGCCTGAAACATATCCCACATGGCCCTTTATAAAACCAAGCCCTGCTACACGTGGTAAGTGCCAAGCCCCGATACCCATGGTAGCTCTAACATCCAAAGAACTTTTCTGTCTGAATCTGCTGCTTGATCTTGGTGCTACTCTGTCCCGCGATGTCTTGCTCTGTGAGTGGTCTTCTAATTTTTCATTGTGAGCTCATTTTTTTGGGGGCATTATCTGTGAGAATTTTAGGAGACTTGAGAGGATGTTCTATTTGTGTTTACTTGGCGAAGTGCCTGGGGAGCTAATAATCTAGGACTATTTTAAATCAGTTTCCTTGGTTTAAAATAGTTTCAGAATAAGCACATAGAGTGAATCTGAACCCCAGACTTGAGGTTTGGATTGTGGTTATTACCTCTGTCAGTGAGTAGGGGCCTTTTTTCCCTTCAACCGAAATCAAAGCTGAGACCCCCCCACCTCCCTTTTTTTGCAGTCTTCCTTTTGCAGGGCAAATATTTTCTAGTCCACTCTTGCAGTGGAAATCTGGGGCTATGGGGACTCATTCCAAAGTGTCCATGCTGACAGTTTATTGCCTTGTCATCCGCCCCACCCCCACCCCCAGAAAATGCCATTAGGGGCCTGCTGCCTGCTTGAGTGAGCATTCACCATGCTCATTTTGGATTCTGGCTTCAACTTCATTTTTAGCCTCTGAAGATTTACCTTAATTTCTTGCCAAGTCAGCTATTCATTTTATCCAGCATTTTCTGAGTGTTTTTTTAGGGGAGAATTTTCAGTATATGGAAGCTGTCATAATGCTGGAAATAAATGTCATGAAAATTGTAAGTGAAAAAATGTACAGTGAGGATAATGCAAATGGGAAAGTTTTATAACACCCCTAGAGGCTCCAAGCCTACCTAGTGTTTACTTCTATCTGAATTATGAGTGGTGTCTCTGGAGTCAGACAACCTGGTTTGGAACCAGGCCTTGTGTAGAGTTGGGGGAAGAGAGGGAGAGTGGTCAAACTTTTCCTGAAAAGAGCCAGATGGTAAGTATTTTCAGCTTTGCAGACCATATGCAACTACTCAACTCTGCCACAGTGTCATGAAAGCAACTATAATTACATACTTTGTAATGAATGGGCATGGCTGTGTTCCAATAAAACTTTATTTACAAAAACAGGCAGTGAGTGGGATTTGGCCTGCGGGTTATAGTTTGCAGACCCCTGGCCTCGTGCAAATTAATGAACCTCTATAAAAGTTTCCTAATCTCTAAAATGAGGGTAATAAGTCTTGTGTTATACATAGGTTGTTATAAGAATTAAATTAGAAAATTCAGGTAAATGCTAGCATTAGCTCTGATGATGATGCCGGCAATGATGATGGTGGCTTCAAAACAGTTCCCTAATTTTGGAAGATTATCTGATGTGTCTTCACTTCAGAACCTTCAAATCCATCCAGTGCAGCAGCTGAGGACTCAGAGAGCTAACAATACTGCAGCAACAAACAACCTTAAACTCTCAGTGGCTTTAACTCTTGCTCACATTAGGTTTTCAATACAGGTTGATAAAAAAACTCTGTTCACTGTTGTCGGTCTAGGACCCAGGGTGATGGAGCAGCCACCACCTTGAAATTGCTGGTCACTACAGAGGAAGGAGCTGTGGAGGATCTTGCCACAACAATAAAATACTTGGTTTGCAAATGACACCTGTCATTTCTATGCACAATTCATGGTCAGAATTGGTCACATCTTCCTCTCCTACTCTTGTTGCCCCTGCTGCTGGGCGTGCTGTCGGCAGACAGTCTTCACCTGTCAGCCCCTCCAGGAGTGCCTAAGCCGCAGACCTGCCTCCCCCCAGGCCCTTCCTTTCCCAGGGCAGCCCACATCCAATGACCGCTCCAGTTAGGGGAACCAAGGCCCAGCCACTTTGACCCAATGTAGGATGACTCTAATGGCCATTTTAGCTTCAGAGATCCCTGTGGGTTTGTTGGGCTATTCAGCTTCTCCCTCTGCCGAATCTTTCTCCCTTCTCCTTCTTTCCACAGGTTACTCCTAAGGACAGTCCTTAAATAAATACCCTGGACCCTAAACTCCATCTCAGGGTTCTCAGAGAACCAATCTGTGTCATCCTCTATGTGCCCAAGGGAGGGATAGGAATATCTCCCAAGGAGCACGGAGGACTGCCTCACTCACTAAGGTGAGCAAAGGTAGCACATACACACGGGAGAGTCTAAACCTGGAGCAGTGATAATAGCTAATATTTATTGAGTGCTGGTCTGCTGCATGCTGTACTGAAAGTATGTTGCTTGGATTAGCTCATTCAGTCTGCACAACACCCTACATCATAGATGACAGGAATAGACGAGATGATGGCGAACTATGGCCCGCAGACCAAATCTACCCATGCCCATTCCTTTATGTATTGTCTACGCTACTTCCAGGCTACGATGGCCAAGTCGAGTAGTTGCGACAGAGGCACTATGGTGTGCCAAACTGAAAATATTTACTCTCTGCCCCTTTTCAGACAAAGCTTGCTGAGATCTGTGTTAGATATTAGTCTCATTGTATAGATAAGAAAATAGAAGCTTAGACAGGTTTGTGGTTTATTAAATCATGGAATGCCATTTTTTTGGTTAAATGTCTATCACATGGCCCCTTTCTGCGTTGGCAGTTGCAGAAGCCTCCCAAGCCACTTATGGGCCTTTGTAAGTGCTCAGTGAGTGAATAGGAATGAATCTCTTCCCTTTCCTTCCTCCCACCATCTGTCTCCCTTTGTAAAACTGAGGTCTCCTCTTCTGTCTCTGCTCTAAATCCTCTCCCAGGCCAATCCAATCCTGCCATCTGCAGGCAAGAGCACCTGAGATAGTGATCCTCTGACCTTGCTCCACCAAGTGGAAGACACAAAAGACTCTAAAAGCCCAGGAGGAAGCTCCATCTTTCCAGAGATGGCTACCGGAAGAGTTAGGGCAGGCAGCGAGCAGAGGCTGGGCTGGCTATCAGGACACACTTCAAGATCACTAAGAAATTATTCTGTGTGCTGAACCATAAAGTGATAAGAAAGAAAAGAAAAGAAAAGAAAAGAAAAAAAAAAAACCAAAAACAACTCAGCAGCCTTGACAGATCTACGGCTGAGATGATCTATTTCCAACTGCCTCCAGCTGAGAAGCGGTTCCCAGGGCAGCACTGAGTAACTCAAAAACATTCCCTCATAAAAGGGATTGTTCAAGGGGGCTTCAAGCATTTAGTTCCTTAACACCCAGCCAGCTGTTTCCTAGATTCACCCAGAACATGGGCCTAGGCTCCAAAGTTTACCCCCAGACCTAGGAGCAGAACTACGAACTGAGCCAAGGTGGGTTGACAAAGTTTGTGCTCTTAATCATACATTCTACTCCTTCCTGGCAAGCAGATACCCGGGATTATGCGTTTACATCCTACAGATGCTGTTCAATGAGGTCATAGATTTTCTGCCAATGATTTTCTAGCAGTTACTTGCAAGAGGACTGTAGGAAGAGATCCCACCTATCCACCCCTCTATCCCATGCCTCCTAAAGAAAATTTTCCCAACTTTCAGAGAGAATCCTTGCATCTATTCAGATATGTTAGATCCCTAAGGAAAAATTTCTAAAATTCACCCCCCATTCTTTGTTAATTAGAAAACAACTGGCTCTCAAAAGTGGCTAGTGAATGAATAAATGAGTCAGCGAATGGGTGGATGACTCAGTCTCCAGACCCTTGATAATAACTTAAAGATCCTGGGCAAGCTTTTTGCTTATGATGACAAAAAGATAGTTGGAGGTGTCTCATTGCGGACTGCTCATTGCAATCAGGTGTCCAAAGGAACAGTCATTCACTCAACAAACACCCACTACGCATTTACTTACAACAAGCATTTACTAGGACTTGCACACCGTGTAAGGCAATGGGAATGTGACACACCAGGTGTCTGCCCTCAACACACGCCTCCAGGGGTGAGATGGAGGCTTGGAAGTCAGTGTGGGCACAGGCAGCTCCATGGAGGTGGGGGTGGGGTGGGGTGGGGTTTGCAAGTACCTGTGTGTTGGGAAGAAAACATGGGGGAAACACAAAGATGAAAGATGCTCTTTCTTTAAGAGAAATGGAAGTGGAACATCCAGGTCGTGGATTGGAAAGGGTTAAGTGGAAAGTTCTGGGGCAGCTGGCAGATGTAACCTGATCCCTCTCAGCAGTAGCCTGGCCTTTAAAACCGGGAAACCTGGAGGAACCACAGACACTGGGCTGGTTTTACTGGTCTCCCCTCACCCTTCAGAAAGCCAGGCCTCTCCTTGCATAACTGGTATTTCTTTGGTGGTGTGAGTTACTCCTGTATATTGCTCAGTTCATCCATCTTATGTGGATTTTTACTAGTTGCCTTCTCAGAGTATGTCCTGGTCTCCCTTAATAGGGTAAGTTGGGAGGGCAACAAAAAGAGATGTTATAAAAGCCTTGACTATTTTAATGGTGTAACTGGGAATGTAATAGCTTACAGACACAAATATGACAAAATTCTTTCTAGAGAACTTTCCAAATCATCAGTTTAGAGATAGGAAGATTTTTTTTTTCCCGTAGAGAGGGCCATTGCTTGATTCAGGTAAAGAAACTCAATTTAGGTTAATTTACATTTGGGGGAAAATTGGGGCAGACCCCTTTGCTCAGCAGAACCTTGCCTTCAAAGAACTAAAGACAAGTCACTTGGTTGTCGGGCGTTGTAACCAAAACTCAGTATTCGTAACCATGGCTTGCCTTAGTTTTGGTTTATCTTAGTAAGACCAAGAATTTTAAAAAGGCTTCCCCCGCAAAAAGTGTTCTGTGTCTACTACAAAGCATGTATCCTGTGCTTAATGCCTAGGATGGATTACAAATGCTACAGGAGTTCGGAAGAGAAAATAAACTGAGGTTCAGGGTGGTCCAGAGAGCTTCATGGAAGGATCTTGAATTCTATTTTGAAAGAGGAGGACTTAGTTGAAGAGATGAAGACGTGGCAGGAGAATGATGGGAGCAGAGACTAGAGGCAGGAATATGGGTGTCCTTTCTTGCAGACTAGCAACTGGCCAGTCTTTTTTTTCCCAAAGAGAAAGAAGAAAAACGGGTAGATAAATGTAGTTGGAACAGAGGTTCATTTAGGGGAGTAGCCCAAGATGAGGTTGCAAGAGGGAGGAGGCCATCTTTGAAGGTCTTGGGTCTTAGAAAGCCAGGCAGGCTGGCTAGGAATTGATACATAGAGGTGGCACAGTAACTGCCCTCATTTTTCTTCTTTTTTCTAGGCTCCTTTATTCACTGTATGATATTTTCATCAATTTAATAGGAGGCAGAGGGAATATTTTAGGAAAAAAATTTAGATCAAGTGTTAAACTCACGCAGCATCACATTCTTGTGCCATTGGGTGAAAATTCTAACGTAGACAAGAGAAATAATGATGACTAAATGTCCTGGAATTTACATAAAGAAGCAAGTCCAGCAACTCAACAACCCAGGAAGCATTGAAGCTGACGCAAAGCAGAAGGTTCCTCTTAAAATTGGATCATGATTTGTAAGTAGATGTCTCTGAGGGGAGAGAGCGTTACTCTGTTTGCTTACCTGTCACTCAACCAACCTTGCAGGTGTCTGGGCATCTTTGAATTTAAATTTAAGCAGGGAAACTAGGTAAACTTCCACTGACTGAATGGAAGATCAAACAAATGTTTAAAACCTGAGATATGAAAGTGAAATGCAAGTAGTTGGGGGCCGCTTTGTGATCAAAAGACTAGTGTTTCATAGAGTTCAGGTGCATCTCAGTTCAATGTACATCCAAGTATTTTTCAAATTGCACACTCTTCGAGACTAAGAATGTATTTCCTTTGTGTCCTCTTGAATGTTGATCAGCCCAATGAGGTTAGGTGAGGGTGAATCACAAGCATATATAAAGTCACATTGATAGCTATTTAATTATTATATAGTTTCACATTTAATGTTCAGAAATTTCAATAAATGGGTATGAAAAAATCTCAACAAAAGCTAAATTAATGAGCAGATTTTGCTCGCTGCAGACAGAGTTATTTCATTGTCTTTAGCAACTGCCATTGTGTGATACTCTTGATTATACTCAAGGTGAGAAGGGACCAGAATAATCAGAAAGGGAAATCAGAAAGTGGACATGAAACTCTATTTTTGGTGAATTTCCTTTTGTAGATTAGCTCTTCAAAATTTATAGGAAGGCAGCCCATGCCCCTGGTCCTTTTCCTTTTACAGGTCTCATTTCCCACATTCCTTTTTCAGTACTCACCACACATCTAATTATTCCAGGTCTGTTTACCTCGTTAGACTCCATATGGACAGAGCCCATATTGCCATGGCCAGACCCTCAGGGTCAGCACAGAGGCACTCGCTGGCCCAGGGGCGACTTTGCGCTACAGTCCAACTGGGCTGTATTCAAAGATCTCCACCTGAAATGGAAGTCTGTTTTGGTTTTGCCATAAAGGTCTGCATAGGCTAGCTGAGGACCCCCTCTCTCATTCCTCAGTCTCTCTCTTGCTTTCACTCTCCTTTCTCTTCAGCTCCCTGACTACCCACTTCTCTCTTTCCCTTCTCCCCTCTCTAAGAATTTCTTGAAATTAGAAGAGGGTTGAGGGAGGCACCATGAAATCCTTGATTGGAAGAAAACGTGGGTGGAAGGGGTTCTGATCACAGACAGCCACTAAATTTGATTTGTAGCTGATCTTAAATGTAGGAAAGATTTTCAATGACAAAACTCATAAAGTGTAAGGGGGAGGGAACCTGGCTGCATTCTGAACTTGACTAATGGTTTCAAAGTGCTTTAAAAGTTTGGCATTTGCCAGCCTTCCTTTCTTCCCCTAATCCTCAAACCCATGAGTTTTTATGGGCAACATAATCCTCTTTTCTGATTCATTTACACTTAGCTCATCTGAGTATTGTTTTGTAAAAACCATCTGAAGTCCAAGAAGTTTTATGAGATCTTTAAAGACTTGTTTTTTGAACCACGAAGTTGTGTACTTCCAATATAAATGGACCTTGAACACACTAGGGGGCTTGGCATTAAACTGAGTCTAGACTTTGCAAAGGCTGGTCCACGTGCCTGACAGAAACAAGGCTTTCGCTTTCAGAATCATAGTGCGTTCAGGGTTTTCAATGTGTGACCATCTCATACGATAGTACGCACGGTGCACAACACACATTTCAAGGATTATCTTGCTAGTTACGTAAACAGCAAGAGACTGATGTGGAAAAACTGTGACTTGGCTAGAGTTTCCTGACTAGAGTGGGGCTACTTGCTTATATGTACGTTACCACATTAATGGCCGTGTGTACACACATGTATACAAACATATATGGATCATTTACAGATGGGATTAACATTTACACTAGAGAGTCTTCCTGTGGTTGTATTTCAGAGACGATCTGATTGTGATATACCCGAATCTGTCACAAGTCAGGTGGTTAATCAGACTGAAGTCTGGGGTGAAATACCCACGTCTGCTTTGCAGTGGGTCAAAAGGAAGGAAGGTTGTATTGTATCTTTTAAAACATTTTTCTGCAGAGCCAGAGAGCATGGTTAAGGGCGTCGCTCTCCCCAAAAGGGAGGACCTTGGGTTGATCCCCACAGCCTCTGGAAACAGGCTCAGATCAGTGAAATGACTTGTTCAGGTTCCCATGGGAAGTGAAGCAGCCACGCCACGCTCAAGCCCAGCCCTCCAGCTCCCTGTCCAGGCTCTGCCCTCTGCAGGCTGCTGCCTCTCATTGACCAAAACAGGCTCTAACGGATGTTGTCCGTCCATCTGGGTCCTGGAGTGACTTACAGGAACAGCTCACCCACCACCACAGACTGGTCTGGTCCTTTGGTGATGCTGTCCTTCACTGTTTCCTGGCTTTCGCCTGTCTGACATCTCTTCTTTCCAGTCCTGGCTCTTGGAGTTAGTGGAATGGAGTTAATGCTTCTAGACAACCCCTCCTCCATCCACATCAAGGGCTGTTCTCTAATCCCTACCTGAGAGGTGAAAATTTCTGTGGACTGATTTGAGGAAATGTTTTCCCTACATGTTATGAATTCTCTATGAGATGACAAAGAATTATGGGTTGTACTGTGACACTGGCCTCTCTCACAAGTCAGATCCTGTCTTGTGAGTGTTCTGTTACTATCTCAAAGTATTGCTTTATGTATTTATCTTTTTATTTTACTTCTTAAAACTTACTTTTTTCTTTTAAACTTTTTTTGGGGGGTAGTAATTAGTTTTATCTATTTATTTAAATAGAGGTACTGGAGATTGAACCCAGGACCTCACGCATGCTAAGCATGCACTTTACCACAGAGCTGTGCCCTCCCCCATTTATCTTTTTAAAAGCTTTCATTTATTTACATTTTGTCTCCCTAACCAGATAGGAGTTTTCTCCAGAACAAAAAGGTTGTGCCTGTGATGCTCTGTATATGCAGAGGGTCAGCCTCTCTGCTTGCCTCAGAGTAGCTCTTGGTGGATATTTATTAGTTTGTGCTGTGTCCTTCCTACAGAACCCCAAGCTGGGAGGCAGTTTCTTCACTCACCCTCCTTCCTCAATCTTCTCAGCTGGTTCCCTTTGGCCTGGCTCAGAGACTGACCTTGAGTGACCTCACGCATCTTGTCCACA